GTGTGTTCATGTCTGTATGTGTATGCGTATGTTTGTATGTGAATGTTTGTATGTTCGAGTCTGTATGTGTATGTTTGTATATGGACGTTTGTGTGAACTTGTGTTGCATCGTATACGTTGTGTCCGTATGTTTGTGTGTGTTTGTTGTATGTGAATGTTTGTAACTTGTGGTGTCTGTATGTTTGTATATGAGTCTTTGTATGTATATGTTAGTATATTGATCTGAGAAACACACGAATAATGGTTTTAATTGTGAGTAGGAAGAACTCTTTGTTAACATAAGGACAGTGCATCATGATCTGTCAAGCCGATGATTTAGCAATCCACATGTAAAAATGCAATTTGTACTTATGATTTAGTAATAAATAAATGTAAAAGTTCATGAAGACAGCACTCCTGAGGATTGCTAACAAGAAGGGATAGTAGTAAAATCCATGACACAATATAGCGCAGCACATTACTCTCTGGGGCAATCATGTCATTATTATTAGAATTTCATACTGAATCAACAACTGGAGCTGTTTTGATTCTATATCTAATTCAGATTATAATTTATAATAGAAAAGAAAATAATCATACATAAATAAATGAGCAAAAAATGAAAAAAAATAAATTTGAAAAATTTTAAGAAACCTTATTTGCAGAACTTTTTGGAACAGTGAGGCCAGCTTCACTACCACCACCAGCAGCAGCAACAGCAGCCACAGCAACCTCTCCAACCATCAAGTCAGCGATTTGAATGAGTGCATAATATTTATTTTGACATTTACTGTAATAAACTTTAAACTTTCTAGAATGTTCCACCATGTATAAAAACAGTTCTTGCAGAGTTTCACTCGTGTCCAAAGACCAGAGGGAAATGGAGGCCAACCACAAGAGAGATTCTGAGGAATTGTGAGAGTAGTTGTGAACTGTCATGTAGAAGCTGTTGCTGTTGAAAACATGGTAAAAGTCGGGGACATCAACTTGGCTTTTGCTGAGTTTTTTGGCTGGAAATCTTCTCTTGGTAGTTTCTTTTTTGGGTTGAACCTTTAAATCCTCAATCTCTAACACGTTGAGGTCATCTTCAAATTTTTGACTGATCGTAACTGGCCTCGTGTCGTTTGCTGTCGAAGAATGACCACGACAATCGCCGGCATTTCAAATTGCTAAATTTTAACGGTTTGCAACTTTTTCTTTTGCTGCTCATTCTTTGATAATTTAGAGGGAATCGTTCGAGATCAAACATTTTAAATTAAAACTTTAATTCGTTGAAGGATGGTTTATTAATTTACTAGGTGTATAAAAAAAGTCAGTGATTTAATAGTGAAAAGCAACTGCCAAGTCAATAATATACAATTTATTTTATTTTATGAAAAAGATTATATTACATTAAAAGCATAATAATAATTCAACTCAAAACTCAATTCAAATTTTATTTATTTAATTTAATAAAACAGTAAATATGGTGATGATATGGAAATGATGAAAACTACTACCTGCCTACTTATCATTGTAATTATTTCACATTCTATATTGCATTGTTGTTTTGTGTTGTAGTAGGAGTTGCAAGTCGTTTATAGGTAGTATAGGTAGCTGATTCTGGTGGCTACTGGTGATGTAGAAGAGTAGAAGGTAGTCAGTCAGTGGCTGTGGTTGTCTGTAGGCGTAGTGTAGTGTAGTGTCCTTTGTAAATTGTTGTTATTGGGTTGGTTCTCTTGGTGTCTTGGACCTTTTTTGGTTTTTGGTACTATAATAATACTTCTACTCGACTATTTTTACTCTACTCAAAGAGTTATATATTAATAATATAATATTACCATTATTATACTAATTATAATTATAGTTTACTTTACTTTTACTAGAGTAATGAAATGATTTAATTAAAAATTTAACTTAATTTAATTACTTACTGTATTCTCAACTAAATTTACTTCTAATTGCAAAAAATATTTCTTCCCTAACAAATAGATCACTAATCCAAATTAGGAAGTAAATTTTCGAGGCGTACAAATACAAAACTACAAATCAATTGTAAAAATAATGTTGATGTAAAGAGAAAGGCAACCATTAAAAGTGAAGCATGATAACAACCTATTTGAGCAAAAAGTAATAAATTTTTGAATAAATCAATTAATTAAATATAATTTGCAAAGTATTGTTAATAATAATTATCAGAAATAACACAAAATTTTTATTAATTTGTTCTAAAACTGTATTTTCAGTCTATTTTTTATCGGAGAAACAGTTTATTTATATTGTATTTGCATTCACTGTTTATTTTCACGGTAAAGGTCAGATAGCTCTTGTCTTTCACTGGCGAAAAGAAAGAATTTTTATTAAACATTTCATAATTGATAATAATATTTTTTCTCAAAAAATTGTTATAATAAAATAATTATATACTTTGTGAGTTATACATAGAGAACTAACTATAATTCTAAAAAAAATTAAAAACACCTCAAATTTGATAAATAATAATATTATTAAAAAAGCAACAATTCTTTTAGAATTTGATTTCTATTAAGCTAATTATTCAGATTTTGACGCGAGTTCGCTGGCGGAATCTTGATAAAATAGATAGATATTGTCATTAACTTTTGTAGATATTCCAGACACTCATTCATTAGAGCAAACGGCTAAACCCTGAAGATAGAAAATAAGATTATAATGCGATGTAAAGCATATGTATTAAATATGGGTAACAAAAATTATGAGATATATTCAAAAGCTTCAGAGTAAATCATGAAAAGAGGAAATTACTATAGATAATCCGACGGGAGCAGTTAAAGTTTTTTGGCCACATCATGCGGAAGGAAAGAATGGAAAATCTAACAATTACTGGAATTATTGCAGGGAAAAGAGATCGCGGTCAACAACGAATAACATTTGTGAAGCTTTTTTGACACTAGTTGAATATCACCTCATTTCAACTCCTACAAAGTGTTAAAGATCGGGTTTTGTGGAGGTCGATGGTCGCCAATGTCATGAAAGGATAAGGCACGAGAAAGAAGGAGAATCGGTATCTGAATTCGTAACATATTCAAGATAATTCTAAGTTTTAGAAAGTAAAAACTTCTGTGATAATAATTCTCAAGTATATTGTTTTTAAGTGTTCTTAATTTTCAAATATTCAAAAAATTTGCGGTTTTCTTCAATGAATGATGAGACAACGTCTTGAGAACTTTAAATTAATTCAATGGCTTTTATATTGAATACCTACTTGCTTGTCAGTAACGAATGAATAAAATCTTGACACGTCTATAGAATTAATTCATCCTCAACTTTGAAAATTTATTTGTAACCTCCAAAAAAATAATTAAAATAGTTTTAAACGAAAAAAATTGATGAATAGTTTGATATACAAGGAAAAAATTAATAATTAAAAATTAAATAAATTCCATATTGCAAAAAAAATCTACAAGAAACAAAATTAATAATTAAAAATTAAATAAATTCCATATTGCAAAAAAAAATATCTAAAAATGATCAACGTCAAATTCATACTAGCCCTACTCTTCATAGGGTCGGCATGTTCATCCCCCTACATACCCCCCAAAAAAACTTTCATGGATCAGTATGTGGAGGTATTCCTCAAACACCAATGCAATGATGCGACCGCGTACGCTTGTTCTAAACATGGCAAGGGATTTTGTGTGGTGGATGATATTTGCTTGTGCTCTCCGGGTTGGGATTTTTTGGTTTAAATATTTTTTATTTTACGTTTAACAAAGTCGTTTTTTTTCACAAGTATTTTTTTTAAAGTTAAAATAAAAATGTTCGTTCGATAATGTTGTTTCTTCAGAGTTATTTATAATTATGACAACAATTGTTGTTTTATAATGTAAAATATTTCAAATTATGTCTGAAAGTGTTTTTTTAAACAATCCGTGCTTACTACAAATTTTTGATTAGTAATGTCGTTTTTCAGTTTTTCCTGTAATTATCATAACACTTTTTGTTTCAGAATGTTGCTTTCTAAAAATATCACCATTTATAATAATAATAATGGCGATAATAATAACATTAACAATATCTTCGACCAACACTTCATTCAAATTTGCTCCAACTGATGCATCGTCCGCCAGGATATACTGGAAAGAATTGTGACGAACAGAGAGGAGTAGATCCCAATTTTGAGAGCTGCAAGAGAGATGAAGAGAGAAGTCCCTTCATTCGGGACTGGATGGAATTCAACAGGATCCACACCATCAACGTCACTTGGCCCTCCAGAACAGGTAGGTTTTTCCATATTTACATTCTGGGTCGGATTTAAATCGGAGCAGCCGGCTACTTTCTCGGAGCTTCCACAAAAAATAGGACTTTACAAAAAACTAATGTAACTCAACTTGGTTATGTTAACATTTTTCAATTAAAGACCTTCACTTTTTTGTTGCCTTATGGCAGGAGTGTGCAAACATTTTGCTGTGAGGGCCGCATTGAGAACTATTTTACCTTTGAAGGGCCGCCCCGTAGTTTGCCCACCTCTGCCCTATGGAATCTGCGCTTGACCCAGCTTAAGTGATTAGCTTACGTATATGTACATCTGTCTTATTTTCAAAATACAAATTTTTTTATAAAACGCTTTTTTAAAATTTTTTTTAAAAAAGTATAATAGTTTATTATATTATATAGAATGAATTTATAATAAATGCGAATGCGATAGTTAAAAATATGTAGAAATATATATTTTAAATATATCACAAACTTGCACAGGCATTACAGAAGATATGGCTAGAGAAAAATGTCTGGAGGTATACGTTAGAAAGAACCCTTTCAAAGCTATCTGCAAAGATAGTAGAACTGACGTCGAAGAAGAAATTATGGAAAACTGCCTTAGAGGAGTTAAGGTTGGTCTTTAGGCTATGTTTTTGTTTAATTGTTCATTAATCTTTCTTCATACTTGGATTTCCTAAATTCATTTGTCATTTCTAATGTTGTCAATACATTCATTGGCAATAACCATCTGACGTTTAATAACCATTGCCGTAGGTATACGTGTGTTTTGTAATTTCAAATAATTTATTTTTGAATAGCTAAATTTTAAATTGAGAAAGTTTTAACCTACGAAATTAAACATATTGAACAGTTTTTATAATTTTTTAAAATTAAATTTAAAAAGTTTTTTTTCTCAAATATAGAAAACTATTTGCATTTCGTCATCTTAAGATTACAAGCCAGTTGAACGCAGCTTACGGCTTCTTCTTCGAATATGTGACCGGCATCTCGTGCAGCTATGAAAAACTTGAGAAAATAAATTCATCGACTTGACCGACTCTTGATCAACACTTCAACTAAATTAAAATCAACAATTACTAATTATAAATTATCATAAATATTTTTATAAAATAACATTTACTTAATGGTAATTATTAAAAACAGATTTTCATATTCTAAAGTAAACTGATAAGGAATATGAATTGAAATGTTTTAAAATTATATTTTAACCGTCTTAATTTGTTTCGGGACTATAACTTTTTAATTTGGGCAAACTTGATGAAAATTTAATTAAAAAATAAGATTTTATATATCGTTTATTATCTTATTTCTACATTTTATAACCCAAAAAAAAAGAATTTTTTTTAAGTTTACCAAAATTTCAAAAAAAAATTTGAATAATGTGGAGTCAAATTATGTGGTCAAATCGATGAATGACCAAGTAAAAATGAATATAACATACGTGTTGGCTAGGTAGGACTTGATATCTAAGTATATTATTGTATTAAATTCCTTAATCAATTAACTTAAAATAATATTTTAAACACTCAAAATAGGAGTATCGTCTATTTAAAAATTTTAAATTTATATCTTTCTCACTAGCCAAAATGTTTCGAGAGTGAAAGGGCTTGCTGGATCCATGGAATTATACAACTATATTATATATAAATATATAATTCAATGGCTGGATCCGTCACTGGAGGCCTCAGACAACAAACACACGGTGTGTATAAAATACGCCCGTATATGCTCACAACAGTCGTCGTCAATAAACGTTAACAATTATCTGCATTGAATTTGAAAATTAAAATTAGTTTCTTTCTAATACACTTATGCTAAACTATTGTTAGGAGAAAGCTAGAAAACATTTTAAAGCAAATTTATAGTGGGATTATCATGGGGAAATGTTTTGTACTGGAATGTGGCCACAAAAACCCGTTTGTCTAAATTTAGGTGTTAATAAATAGTCTCGATAAACTTAAAAATTATGAATCAACTTTTATTGTAACTTTTTCACCAAAAACGTGTTATCTGTTCAAATGAAGAAAGTTGAAATTTAAAAATAAAAAGGAGAAATGGAAAAAGGCTAACTTAACTGGTATTAGTTTATTATTCGATACTATAATTTAATTTTTTTTATTACGTCGGTATAGTAGATGCTAAATTAATTCAAGGGTCTTAAAATCGGTTCAATACAAATCGTTTTCACATTGGCTACCTCTTAAAATATTTTTAAAGAAACACTTGCATTCAATATCAAGCTGAATTCATTTTAGATACGTCTTAGATTGTTTTGTAAAAACTTTAAAAATGTTGTAAATTTATGTACAAACGATTTATTTGTAAGAATCGTGATTCAATTTTCAAGAATTTTTTGCATTTAAAGTGTCATTCTCGATGGGACCAAAAATCACACATAAAAATATTTGAAACATTTCCAACCGACATGGCATAAAAGTGTATACACTAGTTCGAGTTACATAGATAGCAACATTTAATAATCATTAACACACACAAGCTTTATTTTGTTCCGCATCTCTGCAATTAATTTTTGCGTCGATTTAATTTTCAACAATATTAACTTTTAAAAGTTTACTACTAAAGATCAGATTTCATAACTCAAATAACTAGAATCCAATATTATTGACTATATAAGTTTAGGTGTCAAAATTTCCGTCCACTGAAGCATACAAGTTATAAATTATGATGGAAAATATTGATAACATTTTGTAAAGTGTTCAACCGTTGCTCTTTAAAATTAAATCAGTTGGAATGCATTCAAATATCTAATTAAATTGATAAAACTTCAAATTCAAAATTTAAACTGTAATAAAAGATTCAAACTGAAAGGTAAAGCAGCATGACCAATTTCAAAATATTGTTGGTGGCAATTTATTTTTCTACTGGAGTGTTGAAGAGTCAAACGTCTGCTTTGGCGCCGTTGGAAAAATCATTTGCCGAGTTGTATTTCGAGACTCTGAAGGAACATGAGTGTACATACCAGGCCGCCTATGAATGCTCGAAGGCAGGGCACGGGTACTGCGTCTTTGATGACGTCTGCATATGTGATGATGGTTCGTGCTGTTTGTTTGTTCATTCGTCTGTTTGCTTACTTGTTTGTTTCTCCGTTTGTTCCTTCGTTCGATCGTTTGTTTTTTTTGTTTTTTTGTCCTTTTGTTTTTTCATTCTGTCGTTTTGTTGATAGAATGTTCAACATTGGAAAAAATGAAATTCTCCTTTCGAACCACCCCCGCACTCAGGTTTCGCGGGAGAAAGATGCACCGAGAATTTGTTACGATGGGAGGATGAGGGAATGTATGAGAGACACGACGAGCCGAGCCCCATCATAAGGAGATGGATGGAATTTAATGACGTCACTTCCGTCAATGTCACGTGGCCGACCTACACAGGAATCACGAAGGAGGTCGCCGACTCAAAGTGCCAGGAGGTTTATGGGGAGAAAAATCCGTACAAGACTATCTGCCATGATAATCGCACCATGGTTGAGGAGGAGATATGGGACAAGTGCATGCTGGGTATTCAAGTATGTTGGTTTCTATTTTATTCAAGTTTTTATTTTTTACTTATTAGGTAAAATGATGCGAGATTTTTTATTTAACCGAAAGTTATGACGGACATGCGTAGGCACGGGTCCTTTGGATTGCACTCTTTCGCGAGGCATTTTTGCTAAACTTTTGTAGAATATTGCCTTCTGAACCCTTTACAACGAAACATTTGGAATTGTTTTTCTTCATGAAATGACCATAAAAATGTCAACCAATCAAAGAAAACAAGTGTTGTCTAGCCTTTATCCAATCACCCATCTGCCAATCATTAAACAATTTAGTTTTAGAGATTGGATGATTATTTTATGAGTTTACTGCTATCTTGACACCAAAATCAACAACATATATACAAATATAAACAAAAATATTAAAATTAAGGGAATTTTTTATAAAATTATTTTTCCAAATGTTCAAAAATATTTCTGTAAACATCTTTTTAATTTGCAGATGACGGGCCAACTGAACGGCGCTTACGCCTTCTTTCTTGACTACGTGACAGGCATCTCATGCAGTTATGTCGATCCGGAGATGGTAAAAAATCAGTTGCTGAACAAAATATAAATTTTTTTGAGATCGGTAAAATGATTTGTGACCAAACGATTTATTTTTCATCTCATAAAATTAAAAAAAATATATTTTCCTTTGAATAAATTGAAGTAATTATATTGAAATGAATCGACTCAATCGACAAATTAATCGTTTCATTATAACCACAAAGAAATAATGGAATATAGGGAGAGAATTAAGAAACAAACAATCCATTTGGTAGGATATACAGTAGCCGATCTTTCAAACTTTGACGGGGAAAAATTTGTACGGCGGGCCAAAATTTTTCACTGGAAGCCAAAATTTTCACTGGGGAGCCAAAATTTGTGGTAGTGTGTCGACCTTTTTTTGCCTATCACGTCTAATTTTTGGTAGATTTTCAACCTAAAACGTTCCTCTTTCTGACTTTTATTATAAAAATGCTCACAATGGGGGCAGCGGCCTTCCCGAGTGTGTGAGTGTGTGTGTGTGTATGTATGTAAATGTGCGGGCGTGTACTCTCCAGAAACTTTTTCACTTACTACGGACGAACCTCCATTGCACCGACCATCATCTGACACGCATCGATGGAATGAATGTGACCGGAACAGAAGAATGCTCAATTTAAAAAAAATTGATTCTTTAAAATAAAAAAACAAGCCATTGGAAAAAATAGGCAACTTATCTTATTGAGATAACGCTCAATCCTTTGTTCAAATTTCAATGGCACGATGAGACAAAAACAAATATCCCTTTAATATTATCTTCAAAATTGTCAACGGAACGATCATCATGAGACCACCATCTGAAACGTGCTGACGCCCACCACTGCCCACCTCTCATTCTGTAGACATTTTTTTATTAGCGTAGTAGAAAATTAAGGAACAAAGGAACGAACGAACGAATAAATGATTAACTGAATGATTGAATAATTGGTTAAATGAATGAATTAACTAAGTAATCAATCAATAATTTAATGAACGAATAAAATGAATCAATGAATCAATTAATGGAGAAATAATTTGAAAGATAGTGATAAAACGAATGAATAAATGAGAAAAATAAAAAAAAGAAACTAAATCATACTTCAAAAACCGTCGTTGTTGTTGTTTTCTTCGAATTGTCATCGGAACGATCATCATGAGACCACCATCTGAAACGTGCTGACGCCCACCACTGCCCACCTCTCATCATTCTGTAGACATTTTTTTTATTAGTAGAAAATTTAAGAACAAAGGAACGAACGAACGAATAAATGATTAACTGAATGATTGAATAATTGGTTAAATGAATGAATGAATTAATCAATCAATGGTTGTAGGTTGATTTTTTATCATTTGAGTCAAAAGTTACGATCGTATATTCACTAATTACGGAATATTGCTTTTATTTAAAATGTTAAAATTTTAATTTTTTTTAATTGTTATCCAATGTGGTAATTAATCATTTTTATTTGATATAAATTAAAAAAAAATAAAATAGACTTTACTGAAAATAATAAAAATAGTTGAAAAATTGAGATTCTTTGCATATCCCTGCTTCAGCCCATAAGAATGTGTTGTATATTGGTAAATAGGCCTCCCTTTGATTACACACACCATATAATTAGAATAAATATAACGGCCTTCGCTCATTTTTGACGGTCGAACAAGGAGCTTACTTCCGGAGAAAAATTGGAGGGTGGATCTTTTATCGCCCAAGTCAAAAGTTACGATCTTATATTTACTAATTTCGGAATATTGCTTTTATTTAAAATTTCAAAATGTTTTAAAAGGTGATACCTGTTTTAGGATAGATATTGCTGTATGACGGTTAAGTATCTTTTTGCATTTTAAATAAAAAAATTTTTTTGTGAACCAACAACACTTAACATTAACTCATTAACTAACTGTAACAACACTAAACGACGACTAATTAGTAATTAAATTTCTAAACTCTAATAATTAAGCTAAAACTAAACTTTACTGATTCTAATTACTAATTGAAATAAATAACAGATAACACTAACGAACATTAACAGATTAGACTACTAGAAACTACCTACCACTACACTACTACATACTACTACTACACTAACGACTAACAGCACTTGTTCCTAAGATCCTAAATTCTATTGCTTGATTGGTTTTAAAATTTTTATTTACAATGCTTAGGTCTGGGAATAAAAAATATACTAAATTAAATAAATTAATATATTAAAGAACTTATCAATCAATTTTATAAAATAAACAATTTTGTAATTTGTTCAATTCAAGCTTCAAACTCCCCAAGCTAACTTACAATTTAATTAAAATTTATTAATTATGAGTGATTCAAACTAAATTTTTTTTCATTTAATGTTTTACAAATATTCCTTATTCTTAAATTGTAGTACATGTTGTTATTAAATTTATTAAAGATAATGTGTGATTCCAGTGATTCATCAATCCACGACTTGTTAGATCATGATCATTCAGTTTTAAAGAATCCCCATCACCATAACCAATGAGGTTTGTAAAAAATTGTACTTTTAATTTATTATATTTTATGCACTTAGAATGTTGTGTTATTAATTATTATTAATTTATTAAATGCTGTGCATACCTATGGCAAGTAAATAAAATAATAAAGCATAGAAATAGCACAATCAAATTAATTTATATAGGCATGAGTATAACTTGGATAATAATAATTAAAAATATCGGTATCATTGAAAATGGATAAAGTCATAAATAAAAAAATAAATCATAAATTGCTAAAATAGAATATTAATTTGCTAAAATTGCTTCCAGTAAGATTTTGCCTTACACCTACATCTTTTTTTCATTCTTATATTATAATAAATGTTTGTTATCAAATATATCAAGGATTGATTTCTCAATCCATGACTAGATTGAATGTCATGATCCTACAGTTCCAGAGGATCCCCATCACTATTAGTCAATAAGGTTTGTAGAAATCACCCCAGGCATACCATCAATGTTTTGTAGCCACCTTTTAATGTAGTGTTAATAAAATGACATTGAGAATAGTTATTTAAAACAATCTTATTAAAATTATTGAACAGGTATGACAAGATTACTTTCTTAATGTCCTAGTGTGAGGAAGATGTAAGCCATTTGTCCAAAGATAATCATATGCCTTATGCCCATACAAATGCAGTGTCAACGCGAATGATTTTTGATCAGAGTCATATGTTCTAATTTTTTTAAACTTTTCCAGAAATTTTTCTGTTAATTTATTTGTTACATTAAATACTTGATGTGTATTTCATATAAAAACTTGATTATGCCAATTTAGTTAACTTGTTAAGCATTAATATAAAATTGACTCTACTTGTAATGGTGATTGGTATGATGATGATGATGATCCCAGTCCTAAGCAGGGTTTATTATTCACAATGTCATTATGCCCTTTCTAAGTTTTAATAAAATACATGGAGTATTGTTGAATGCATTTTATATTTTTTGTATATATATAACAATGTTGCAATGTACAATGAGGATGTGAATTGCTTCCTTGTGTAACTGATGACATAAATATAACTAACTTGAAAACATGGGAATGCTTTTCTTCAGCATTACCTTTCTTTCTCCATCATAACCCTTATAATCTTTATTACAGAAATGGTCACTGCATATTCTTGCATTTTTTGATGGAAGCCATTTGNAAATCATTTATTTCCTGTCTGATGCACTTAATCCAATTGTTTTGCATTTTTACATTTTGAGGAAATCTGAAATTTTATAAACTGTTACAGAAACTTGTGCATTTCTTAAGTATTGCTTTTATTAATAATAAAATGGTAATCCATGATAGCATTATAAATTATAATAGTCTATAAAATAAAATATATGTAATTGTAAAACAAAATAGTTCTATTCAATGAGTATAGGGATATTGTAACATTTATTTTAGTGTGAAGTTAATTTGAAAATAAACCTGTGAAAAGATGCATCAGAAATTTTCTTATTTCTATTTATTTTTAATGCAATTTTTAATGCGACAGGTGGGCATGTTTGTGTAAAACTACGAAAATGAAAATTTACTTAAAAACTAAATTATTGTATCTGACACGAAAATTAGTACAGAAACAAAAACGAAAGAATAAATGACAATATAAAAATTTAAACATTGATTGAAAGAGTTTATTCTATTTATATGGTATGGGCAATTCGTTTGCGAAATCGTTGGAGGAAATGGTGTCAACAGTAGTTATTTTACTGCATGGTAGTTAATCAGCCGGTATAAAAAATATATTCGATTCCTATCAAATAAATTTGACAAAGTATCATACACAGGCAGAACTAAATAAAGAAATAGATATATACACGTAGTTATAATGCATTTATAATGTTGTATTTACACATTCAAATTGTACAATTGTGTTATGGTGTAGTCTCAAATTATTTTGAATTCTCTCAGAAAATTTTAAACGTTTTACTACACTATATATACTAGTTACTTTTATCAACAATTTAAAAATTTTATCAATAATTAAAAAAAAATTTCAAATTGATTTCATTGCGATATCGATAATGATTTTTGTGACCTGACTGATTAAAAAGCATCAAAGAAAGTTAAAATAGGGTGGAGAATTTGTTATATTGGGATATTCGTTTAAAAAGCGAGCCAAATTTTAATATAAAAGCGCTTATAAATCTATGCATATTGGCTCAGCTTGGCTTGGCTCAGCTTGGAATCGGATGTTAAGCAAGGTGTGGTTTCAAACAATTTTGAATTCTCCCCGAAAAACTTGAACTGCGTGCTTACATATATAGCACTGATTACTGTTGCTTTTATAATGAATTTTTATTATATATATATAAAGTGACTGGAATACATGTATACAAATAATTAAATTATAATATATTAGAATATATGTTTATATGAAAAGCAATATAGCAGATTCAACCAGCCAACCAGAAAGTTTCGAAGGCGTTCGTTCGATGACTTCAATTTAGTACGGTTAGCATTGTGGTTAAGACTGTATAATAGTGCAGTATATACATTAAACAAGTTTTTTACTGATGCGAATGATTGAAATGATGAGAATG